GAGCTCAGACAACTTCAGACCACAGAAACTGCACAATGTTTGGAAAAAAAAAAAATTTTTTTTTTTAGATTAAAAAAAGACCAGCTCTCTTATTTTCTCTCTGTAAACAGGAATGTGTTCATCTACTAGTCATACTCAGCTGGACTCTCTAACCTTAAGAATAAAGGCATCCTTGTATTCTGATCAAGATTGAATTAACCTAAGACAAGTTTCAGTTATGAGGACAAACACACGATACAGAGTTCACAAATTAAAAATATAAAGCTTGTATTACTGGAGAAACTGTCTTCTCTGTATAAGAAAGATTAAAATCAAACAATCAGAGATGTGTAAGATGATCCCATAAGAATTTTATTAAGTAGGTTTAATTAAATAAGACAGACTGTGATTTTTAATAAAACATTTACGTTTAACAACTGGAATAATATTGGATTCTTCTGTGTGTGATAGGCAGCAACTTATTTTACCCACAAAGATGAACAAAGATAGAAAGGAGTGAGCTGGTATTTTGACTGTTAGTATATATGACAGGCACACGACTCATTGGGTGACACATTAACTGCATAGTACAATGAAAAGAGTAGCTTTAATCTTTAGTAGTCTCATGAAAATTAGCTATATGTAGTAGCTCTTGCAGAAAAAAGACATATGTTACCATGCCATGCTTTCATTTAAGCAGACTGCTTCTGTAAGAAGTTGTTTGCATCTCTTATAACCCACAAAATTACAGATGATAAAGAAAAGGCACTCTTCTGAAAAGACAGCTCCTGGAAGGTAAGGCTGTGGTGCATGATCCAATCTTATCAGACATCAGAGAATCCAGATGAGCAGAGGCATAATGAACAAGCTAACTTCACTCAAGCCTCATTCCTTATTAGCCAAGGGAAATTAGGCTTCATTAGTTTTATTGCTTCCCCAGTTAGCTGTGAAGCATTGCACTGAGTTTGCAGGGGAAGTCAAGTGAAAGCTTTTTTGCAGCTGTCAGAGATCATTTTATGAGTAACAATTCCCAGTTCTCCATGAAAAAAGGAATCATCTGCCCTGTATACTACATGGTGACTTTGGGCATTAAACAGGTGACAATCATAAGATAGAAAAGATCAATTTCCTTGTTCTTGTGTTTTATTGGTAAGCCCAATATAAAAAACTGTTGAGTTTTACTCGTTACTTTTCAACAGGCAGCAATTCTTTTTGCTGAAGCTAATATTATCAACTCTAGCAATATGCCACCTTATACACGTGTCCAACTTGAATATGAATACATGTACTAGTATTTATAGTCTTCCCCACTACCTGCTGTGATTTTGTCTTAGTTTTCAAATGATTGTTGCTATGTTATGCATGGATCTAGTGAATGTTTTTGAAGTCTCCTGTTCTGAGTTCATCATACCTCTCCAGTTACTGTGTGGGGTGCCAGCTGCAACACATCTACTTACATTGCCATTTTGAGCGGTCCACATGGTTTTCAACTTGCTCCAGTGGGGCTTAAGGGGTCCACCAGGTAGCTGGCATGAAGTCAGACCCCTCCGTGTCATGTTGCCCTGCCTGTGGCCAAAGTGTGACTGCTGCAAGACATAAGAAGTCTGGAAGTGTTCCTGTTCCCAGAGGTGGGGTGCCAGCCGTACAGGTGTTGTTTCTAGAGCAGAGCCATTTTCAAAGCAGCATCTGGCAGCTAGCCTGCCTTGAGGAGGTAGGAGCCTGTACAATCAGGTACAAATCCCTGGCAGGGGTTACTGCTGTGATCGTTTTCAGAGTGGGCAGCTGCCAACAAGCTTTGGCATAGTTTCTCAAAATGGGAAAGCATTGTCTCTATTTCACTGTGGGCTTGTAAACTAGCCTCTTGCACAGGGCATGCTTTGACCCGTGTGCACAAATGGCAAGGGCTAGGATCAGGTGGCTGTTAGAGAAGCTTTTCCACATCTGGGCAACATGCTTGCACTGTGCTGGCCTCCTTGCTGCCGAAAGCTGCCTGCTCCCATACCGCACATCCCCCTAAGCACCATGTCCTTCAACAGGCAGAGCAATACACGCGTTGTAACAATCTGCCTGCCCCTGCCAGAGGTACAGTCCCACACAGTGTCCCACGCAGGCTGCTGGCAGTGCTCACAAAGGAATGGATTTTAACTGAGATCTGAAAGCAGGGAGAGGGGGCCGTCAGTCAGATTCTCAGCTGCTTCTGGGGCCAAGAGGGCTACAATGGTGACAGGCTACTACTTCATATAATTGCTCTGGAGTTCCTACGCCCAGGGTTGTTCTGGAGCAGAGCCAGGACGTGTTGAGTGCAGCATAATGCTGACTTGTATGCTGACCACACCAGTCACAATTTAAGTACAAGCCTTTCTGTATGCTGCCTATAATAGTTTGATTTAAATGATATTGCTTAAACCGTGGCACAAATTATGCTCTGGTTCATACCCAGTTTTCCCCTCCTCCAAGGAAACTACACCATTTCCTGAAAGCCAGAGCCTGAAAAAGACAATATGTAATACAGGACAGTTTTGCAACTCTGACTCTTACTGCAATGTACTAGTAAAAATGCCATTTTCCATTCATGGGATATTTTCTATGTGTGCTGGAATTTCAAAACCACTTTATGTACTGAAGTTTAATACTGTGCTTTCTGGTTCAACCACTTTCAATCAACAAATATACTCCTAGAACTGAAACAGAAGTGCTGGGGAGCACCACTCTCTGTGGTACAATAACGCTCACCTAATTGCTTCCTGGCTTGCTGATCCGTCATCCTGACCCCCTCTTTGATGTTTTCTTCTTTTTTCCTGGGGCATTAGTAACAAGTGAGAAATGCTGTCTCAGGGTATTATATATGGGATTATTTCTCTATCCTCCGCACAATGACCATATGTAATGAGATTATCTCTTATTTAAAATAAAAAAGGCTTGGAAACATCAAATCCTGTTTATGAAAAACTAGCTTCTTTATGGTAGTTCCTTTAATTGCAAAAAGTTTTCTTTTTTTTTTTTTTTTTTGCTTTGTAATAATACATTTCTGTAAGTCAGCAAAACCAGCCTAACTGCTGCAGATGTCTCCTTTCTGCTAGCTAAATTTAGGCTGTTCTTCCTCTCCTTCTGTGTATATATTCCTCTGACATCAAGAGGACTATGGCCCCTTTAGAGTACATTTATTGCTGTTGTAAACAGTGAAAGCAGATGATGCCAGATGATGGAGGCTTCTGCCAATGTCCCTTCTTAGCATGCTTTCATTTCAAAATATATGAACTGGTACCAGTTAGTGCCAAAACTCTGTAAGTATGAACATACAACTAGAAAGGAGGAAAATGGGAAATGTGTGTCACTTTGAAGAAAATAGAATATACATTTACTGCAATGAGGTATGTGAACAACTTCACAGTACATAGATGTGGGAGGAGGAGAAATGCCTGGTGCAACTCTTAAGTACAAAACATGAGAGTATGGGAGAGGGAGGGAGAGAGGAGACCTTTTCTAGATCTGGGTTAGATTTGTTACAGTGTAAGTTTTCTTTAAGATTAGGACTTTGCCACAGCCAAATCTAGTCTTAATTTTTAGATTTCTAATTTGCAAGAGTTGTCCAAGAAATTCTTTTTAGGTAGCTGGGGTAAGCTCTTCTACATTTGCAGTTGTGTCTAAATCAAAAAAGTGTAAATGCACATGCAAACTTGGATCAAAAAGATCACACCAACAGGATTTGCTTTGAACTTTCAAGTCTCTCTCTGCCTCTCATATGCACATACATACAAGGTTTGAAATGTTTCTGATCTGAGGTTCTGGCTGGTCATCCATCTGATTAATTAATATTCCCCCTCAGTACAAGCATTTGAGTTACCCTTAAATTCACCAGTTTTAATATACCTTTTCCCTTTAATGGGCATCTAGAATACACTGCAAAGACCATTTACCTCACTTATGTTTCTATCCAAGTCACCCATTTCTATGCTCTGTCTCCTCTTTGCTATCATGCAACGAAGCAAGCTGTTTGTATTGCCTTTGATGGCACCTCGTTAACATTTTCATGCCAGTTTTGAGAAAGTAAGTTTCATGATTCTGATTGGTCCGTGGTGTGAGCCTGTACAACGCCTTTCTTAAATTTTCAAGTAAGCAAGGCTTTTCATGATTTCTCCCATATGTCCTTACGTTAACCTTATGTTTCCTGTTAACCACAGCAAAGCTACTTCTTTATCCTCCTTCAGATAAGCCCTTCCTCTCCTCCTCGTGCTGTTCTTCGCCAGTATGACTGAAGTTAAAAACCAGCAACAGGTGGATGCCAGCGCTCCCTGTACTGCTTATTGTGTAGGCCGGTGAGGTCTGTGAGGTGTCTGTGTCCCCTGCGGGTGCCATGACCGCGTCTGGCAGTCGGGCTGCCAGCCCGCTGGAGCAAGGAACGTCTCTGGCTGCGTATTGTGACAGGAGGCAGCACAACAGGAGCCGCTCCACGCCTGGGACTCTTGCAGTATCAGCGCCGACGCAGTTGCCCAGTCCATTTTTGCACATTAACTCCTGCTAGCTGCACACGCGTTTGATAAGCGGGAGTTCAAGGGGGAACAAGCGATCCCGCCGAGCGACTCCGGCGGCGCACCTGGAGCTGTCCCGCCCTTCCAGAGCACACGCCGCCCGTCCCCAGCGCCGCGCCGCGGAGAGCGGCCCCGCCGCCCCGGGGAACGCCTCACGCCCGCAGCGGGGCGGCGGCGATCAGCGCCGGGGACGCTCGAGGGCGGGTTTCGCCGTGCTGATCGTCCCGCTCCCGCTAACCGAGACCGCGCCGCCTCGGCCGGCGGGAAAGAGCGCGACGCCGGCGGCCGCTGAGGGGCTGGGCGGAGCGGGGAGCCTCGGCGCCGCGTAGCGGACCCGGCCTCGCCCACCCGCGGCGGGCGCTGCGCCCCGGGCCCCGCCGGCGGCTCCCCGGGGGCCCGAGGGGCTTGGGCCGCGGCTCCAGGACCCCCCGCCCCCTCGCGCCGGCCCCTTTAAGGCGGGCGGCGAGCGCACACCTTGCCTCCGCCCCCCCCGCCCCGCCGGCCGAGGTACCGGCCCCGAGCCGAGCCGAGCCCTGATTGGGCGGCCGCCGGGCCCGGTCACGTGGCGGGGGGTGGTGGGGGGGGCGCGCTCCCCACAGCCTCCCGGCCGCCATTTTGGCTGGAAAGTTTGGAATTTCCGAGCGGCACGAGCGGGAGGCGGCGGGCGGCGCGAGAGCACCAGCCTTGCCCGCCTTGGCCCGGGCCCCGTCGCGCCGCTCCGCTCCGCTCGGCCCCGCTCGGCTCGGCACGGCACAGTGCGGCTTGGCTTGTCCCGTCTCTCGCGGAGGCGCCGCGGCGGGCGCTGGTGGGAGCTGCCGAGGGGAGCCGCTTGCTCGCCGGCCGACCGGCGGGTGTGCGGGTCGGTCGGTGGGGTCGGTGAGGCGGGGCGCCCGTCCCCCCCGCTCCCCCCGCGCCCGGCCGGCTGGGGGACCCGCGCCGCCGCCCCCGCCGCGCCGCCCCGAGTTGGGCTCAAAGTTTGTGAGGCGGAGCCCCGGCCGCCGGGGGAGCGCCATGCCCGTCAGGAAGCAAGGTGAGCGCCGCACGCCGAGGGGCCCCGTCAGCTGCCGGAGTCGCTGCCTGACAGCCGGGGTGGCGGCGGCGGGACGGGTGAGGCGGGGCGGCTGTGGGGAGCCGGCGCTGTGAGCCCGCCGAGGGGCACCGTCCCGCCCGCGCTCTCCCGGCCGCGAACAAAGAAGCCGTCGGGCTGGGCTGGGGCGGTCCCGGCGGCGGAGACTCGTCGCCTCCCCGGCGTGTGCATCCCCGGTCCTGCCCGGTGCGCCCCGGTCACCGCGGTGTCTGGTCTCCCTCGCAGATACCCAGCGAGCCCTGCGCCTCCTGGAGGAGTACCGCTCCAAGCTGAGCCAGGCGGAGGACCGGCAGCTGCGGAACTCCATAGAGCGTGTTATCAGCATCTTCCAAAGTAACCTCTTCCAGGCTTTGATAGGTAAGGGCGGACTTCTCAGTTTGTGCTTGAGACGGCCGGTTCTTGCTTATGCTGTCACTTATGTTGAGAAGAAAAGCTGTTCTGCCCTTGTGTTAGAAGCTATGTGCTTTTTGTCGTTGTGTTTTGTTTTGCGTAGTATCACACGTGCTGTCGCCGATCAACAGTTCTCTTGTTTCATATACTTACTTTGAGGCTTTTGACTGGCCTGAACTACTAAAAGATGTGGTGCAGTTTTTTACTTCTGTCACGTGTTATTGTAGATTACTTTAGTCTATTTTCATGTATACTTATTCACCTGAGCAATTTCTAAGCAATGTGTTTGTTGGTTTTTTTTTTGGTGAGTCCATATGTAATAAGTTAATGAATGAGTTGAAGTGGTTTTAACTCAAGTTGGGATTCAGGCAAATGTTCCTGCTGAAGAATCTCTAAAAACATCACAAAGCGTCTGTCTGAAGTGTGAAGTTAACTTGGAAGTAAATGAGAAGAAACCTCTGATGCTTCAGGGAATGCTACAGTGATCTTCTCTCCTTTGTTGCATATTAAAGTATAGTGAAAACATTGTTAATTTCTTAGCTTAGAGTATTTGTAGTGCTTCACTTAAAATGTTCCCGTAAGTCTTGTTAAACTACTTGAAATTTTGAATTTCCTGCGTGTCTGTCTGGAAAAAAAAATTGAGCATAAATTAAACTTCCAAAATCCCGACTTTCTTTGGAAACTTCTGCAGGGGGGCAGTGAGATGGGGTTTCTCTTTGATTGTCACTATGACTGCTAATGAATGAAAGGGTTTGGTTAGTTTACTTTCCAGAGTAAAATTTGTAGAGTTCTGCATTCTTGTCTTTTAACAAAGTAACCCGTGTCTGAATTATACTAATAACAGACATGGTAGCTAGACTTGTTATTTGGCTTACTGTATGGTTAGTGTCATACAGATGTACATCTTCTATATAGTGTTGCAGCTTCTTTGAATCTGTGTTGTGGTAGAAACACAGGGACAGGCAAAACATAAACATGCATTGCTGCATGTGGAATGTTTTCTTCTGGAGGATTTGTTTCATATTCTTAGGTAGGTTTTCAGAAGATAGTAATCTTGCTGTGGTTTTTTTTTTTTTGTCATGTAAGTTCATGAAAGGTAGTTGTGAAAATAGGTCAGTTACGGAAATCTTTTACTCAGGCATTTGTGCATTTATCTTCAATAGTCACTTGATGCTAACCCGCTCCATGAGGGAAAGCTAGGCGTAATCTTTGTGGGACATGTGTGAACAGTATTCACTCATTGGTGGTTCAAAATGTTGAAGTCTTGTATCAGAAGCTTAATGTACTGTAGTTTTGCCTTTTATTTTCATCTAGCAAATGTCTATGTTGACTACCATTTTTCTTGTTCTGGGTGTCTGTATGCACATGGGTGTTTTTTTTTAAACTGTCTTGAAGATCCATGCAGTTTTCTCCCCTTCGTTGGATAGGACACCAATCTATCAGCCTTTAATGGTCAAACCTGCAAGACATAGTTGATTCTCATATCTGCATATGGATCTTCATTGTTTTAATAACTCTACACCTAGTAGTAGTAAACTTGAAACAGCAAACAACCTCATGTCTGCGGGTTTCATTCCGCAAGAGCAGAAAACAGGAATGTGTTGTTGCCTGGGTGGCCTACATGGCCTGTTTTCTGGTCTTGTAAAATATAAGTTGCAGTCATGTGACCCCAGTTTTTGTGGAGTTCAATTCAGCTGTGCATGTACAGTAGGTGTCATGCTTCTTGGGTGTGTTAAGTTGGTGTTTACTGGTACACTGTATGATTGTTTATTACAGAGTGTATGCATATGTTCCCAAACTGTGTCTGAGAGGTGATAACACAGAAGGCTAGTAACTTCCAAGCAATTTATGCTGTCAACTTCAGTCTTTCTCCTTTAACCTGCTTCTTTCCGTGGAAATACTTCCGGGGAGTTCTCATTCATGGCAGGCTGCTCCTGGTTATTGTTTTCCTGGGAACATCTTTTTATGGTGTGACTGGTGTGTGATGGGAATAAAGAGTGGGAAGACTCCCTGGAAAAGACGTGATCTAGAGTGTGGCTCCAGACCATGAGCCTGCTCCTGCCTGTCCTCTTTCCATGAAGATCTAGGAGCAGGTGTGATGAGCCGTTCAGTTGTGCTGCAAGCTAGGCTTACCTGGAATACCGCATTTCACATTACTTCATGGCTGATTTTTTAAGTGTGTCTTTTTGAGAAGTTGTGATGTGTTTCCAACTTAAACAGCCTGTGCTGTTCAGACAGAAAGTTTCAAGCTCAACTACCAAGTTATTTCTCCTATAAATACTTTTTCCAGAAAGCGTTCTACTTTTAGTTTCTGTGGTTTTTTTTTTTTGTTTTTTTTTTTTTAATAAAATAATACTAAAAAAGAGCAACAGCTTAATTTATTTTCTGCTTTTTCTGCCAAGTTACTGCACTATATCCAAGACCTGCCTGCCCATGGTAGGTGAGAATGTTTGTGAAGGATGCAGTCAGGATCTGCTGTCAACTTCATGTATCTTTTTTAGTATGATTTTTAACTTGGCAATCAAACGCTGTTCTTTCAAGCAATACATAGACATTACTATGCACAGAAATATATCTTTGGGTTTATAATGGGGGAAATTAAATATTCCCGAAACATACAGATTTTATTAATATTTCATATGTTTAGATAAATGTGAAGGAACTAAAGGCTAATTTTTTTCTGAATTTCCATTTGGATGCTGAAAAATAAATGATATTGGTTTTTATTCTAAGCCTTTTTTAATGTTGTCCTCTCCTTTTTAATTCTATCAATAAAATTTTAGGTCAGCAGTCTATGAACTTGACCTGGTTGTTAAATATACAGTTATGGCTTTAAATGACTTGAATTAGAGCAGTAACTAGTCAGTATGAACAAGCAGTGTTACAAAATTGACATCACAACAGTGTTATATTTTAAGTGAAATAACTGTAAGGACTTTAAATTAGTAACAAAATTCGTAACCAAACGTGACCTCCTTAAAGTAGTCTGAAAAAGCCCATTTTTTTATTTTCTATGTCTTCTGTGGTGTGGTATTTCCCATAGCTGTTGTTTCAAACAGCCAAGTGCAATGATGTCTGGTACTTTAATTAAATAAATACCAATGGTGTGTAATTAAAATCAGCTTGAGAATAGTGTCAGTTTTAAGTAAATTTCCTATTGTACGGTCTTGGAATTGTATGGTATATTTTCTAGCTTAAGATTTCTTGGTTGTAGTTAAAATAGCTTGTTATTGATATTCTGATAATTTGTGAGTCAGTTTAAGAGACCACAGTTAAGATATCCACATATGGAGGCATGGGATAGATGTATTTTCACTTTGATAAAGAATTTTATATTTATCTTCAAATAGGGAGGTAATAATTTTGCAAATATGTCCTGATTCTAATTTAGGCACTCTCACCTTCTTGAGAAGGTACAGGTTCTTGTAAAGGTATGGATATATGGTATATTTATCTCTTTGAGAGTATAGGAGGAACAACACTTGCATGCATAAGTCTAACACTTCTGAGGGAAAAACATGTGAAGCAGACTTCTGTTTATATACAGAATCTGTATAATTAAAGTCTGTTTCTAAAGGGTTGTGTGCTGCAGTCGACCATGTTAAAACAGTCTTCTAAAATTAAAAATTTTACTAATTATAGCTAGACATGTGAGGTAGTTTACTAATTGAAAAATACCCCTTTTCCTGACAGTGATGAACTGAATTTGCACAAGTGTCAGAAAAAGGGAATTCTAAAAGAGTCTCTACATACCTTGACAGTGGAGTTGGCTGTGCTGCCTTTCTTGCCTTCTTTATTACCTTATCTGTCTTAAGTGTTTTTGTTTTGTTTTGTTTTTTTTTTAATGTTATTTTATAGCTATGCATATAGAGGTTTTTTGGTATCAAAAGGCAAATTTGACTAGGGAAGGTTGAATGTGTTGAATTTCGTATGTGTAAGCAGCCTAATTGATTTCACTTGGAGTCCTTTAGCATGAAGATCTGCCTTGAGAATTGTGCTTGCACACTGGTTATCCTTAAGACTAGATGTCCAGTGTGGGAAACTTTGAAGAAAAAAATGCGGTGGTTTCAGTAATCCTTACTGAACCAAAGAATAGCTCCCTCCTGGTAATGGTAATCTTTAAGGTTTTTTAACCATAGTTTACATTCATGAGCTTTATGAATTGGCCAGAATATATTAAAAATGCTGTTAATATATTTTTACACACCCGAAAAAGTCCTGTCTCTGAAATTTTTGTAAAATTCATGATTGCATTAGGATAAACTCTTTGTTCGGGTTTGTCAGCAGTCTGACCAGGGCTGAAACTTCTAGGAGTATAAAACATACTCCGCAGCTTTCTCAGTTCTGTCCACACTGGCTTTCTGAACTGAATTAAGAAAACAACTCTGGATTTTAGACTGAAATAGACTGGATTGGGTCAACACTCCACAGAGTTGGTACCCTTTGGAGTGGACTGATGACAGTCCTGGTAGATGTCATGTGGCCCCAGTTCTCGGAGATGTGTGTGGCAACTCTGTAGATATTCTTGCTCTTTCAACTCCCTTTCAATTAGCTAGCATGGAAATACTTTCTGTACTTACTGGCTTAATTGAAATCAAACACAGTTAAAGCAGAAGCTCTTCTTCGTGACTGAAACCAAAAGTACTTGTTCTTGAGGAAACTTCAGTATCGGCTTTCATTTCAGTGATATAGTTAGTTAATAGAGCATATGGCATGATGACGCAGTTAACTTTTCAGATCAGCTCAGGCCTTGTGGAGAATTAGTTGTGGGTATGTGTCATTTTGTAAGACTGCTCTTGAGTTAACTTGAGGAAGGCTACTTTGTGAACTGTTTCCCATTTTCTAAATGTTACTGAGGCCCTAGTACAAGTTCTTTCAGACTCGGTTGAATAATATTTACATTAAGAATCCAGAAATTCTTGACAGTAAGTCAAGGATCTGGTTAGATAGTGAATATTGGTTGTTTT